TCCCCCAAGAGTTCGCGTAGCTGTCGATCACGCACGGCTGCCGCATCACTTTTCCCATGAAATCCGCTTGGTATGCCAAACAAAGTGGCTGCACTAGGCGTGGAACGCGCAAGTGCTGGACTGCTAATACCTGGCACGTGGTGCTCGGGCATTGCGTCCGCCACGATTGGCATTGAACTGCGGCCAGTGAAGAAGTTTCCACCGGTAAATGGAATTCCGTCCATCACAAGGTTCTTGTCCTTGTCCGATTCCGAGAATGCGAACTTCTCTTTGGCGACTGGACTAACTTGACTTGGGGACCGTATTTCAGGGGATCGTACCTCATCTCCTACGGAAAATGCAGGCATTACATCCTTTCCTACGTGCTCCCAGCCAGACTCAGTAGTCCTCGAAGACATGGGCATGCTCGAAGGTCGCGTCGCTCCTCCTTGATTGGAGTTTCGTGCTGCCTCCAATTCGCTGCGTGTCCTCGCTTGAAGATCTTCTTGTGCTTTGAGCGTTTTCCTGAGTTCACTCAGCTCGTCGTGCAAGGTAGGCAATGATCGCCTTGCATGATCTTCATTCTGATGAAGTCGTTCCTCTGCTTCTTGCATCCTCTTCACAGCCATTCTGCGGTACTCTTCCTCTTCACCAAGACGTTCACGAAGCCGAAATCGTTCTTGTTCAATGGCTGCGCTGTTTCCAGCTAGCCCTTGGATCTCGTTCACGGCCCGCAACTCCTGGTTCTTGACCAAGTGGAATCGTTCCTGCATTGCTTGTAAGGCTTGTTCCGAACTTGCTGTGTTTGACCGGAGGACCAAGTTCTCTCTGGCGTGTTCATGAAGTTCATGAGTCAGACGCTCATACTCACGTGCCATAAGCTCACCATCACCTTGCGCTCTTGCCTCCAACTGCACAAAGTTGGTGGCTGCCTCCGTGCGGAACACGTGTAGCTGTTGAGCTAAATCTTCGGCAACGGCATGTGCTTGACGTTGTTGAGCAGAGTTCTGCTCATCCATGCGAAACAAAGCTGTTTCATAGTCTCGCTTCATCTCCTGATTGACATTGTTGATGTGCCTCATGGCTAAGCATGCATGATCACGTTGTCGTTCCAATTCTTCAATGCGAATTCCAGATCCTTCATCTTCTTGCTGCATCTCCTTGATCTTGTCCATCAGGGTCTGGACGATTCCTTCGTATTCTTGCACCTGACTGCGATAGTACATCTGCTGTGCAAGGTTCGATGCTTCGAACTGTTGCGAAATCGTCAATTCCTGGTAGGCATTCGGACCATCAGCTATTGCAGGCGTGGCCACGGATGACGCATCACCACGTGCAGGAATCGTATCCAGAGTCATGTCCAGATCATCAGTATCGCGTGGTTGATTGGTAACCATCCGATTCCAAGTCATGGACTTGTCACGCCCACGAGTAGCCGAAGTCCTCGATCGTGCTGAAGAGCTTCTCGAAGATGATGGTCTTGACTTCTTTTCCAAGGTCTTGACTCCTTTGTCCTTAGCCCTGGACGTAGTCCGAGGTGCCTGAAAACCAGACGCTTCGGCCCGTCGTTCTGAAGCCTTGCCCGTCCTCGAACCTGTGGATGTCGGACGTGAAGGCGTAGATGCTCTTGGTAGACTCTTTGCTTTCCCCTTGGGAACTGCCTTTGCAATGGCAAGCGCAGAAGATTGACCTTTGTCATCTTCCGTGGAGCTATCAACGGATTGCACCACTGTGTCATCAGCTGTTGACTCACCAACGGCTGGCGCTGCCACATCGGCACCGAAAGTCATTGTCGTATCTTGGCTTGATCCTGAGTTCATTGTGGTCGTAGTAGATCAAGTAGTCGTTGCTGTAGAAAGGCAGAGCCGCGTACGGCTGATAACCTGCGTGGGGGATTGATCTCGACTTGGTTGCTGCTCTCCCCACCAGAGCTGTAATGAATGTAGGTGTGGCTGGCTAGCACTCTCCACAGACTGGACCCTGTCTCTCCCTCTTACTTCCACACGTGCGATCCTATGCAGGCAGAACCGGCGGCCGTTCCTTTTGCACTCACTGCCGGCGGCGGTTCGTCTGTGCAACGGGATAGCTCTGATTGCTCAGGATAGAAGACACATATAGCACTTAGCTATGGGCATTGACTTGAGCCAAACGTTGCGTTGGCGGTCACATAGAAAGGTAAAGATGAGGGATGCGTAGCATGCCCCCTAGAGTCGAGGGACGCGTAGCGTGCCCCCTTCTCTTGCACTTTACACGGTCTTGCTCACAGCTCTTATAGTGACACCTTAGAACATGACAAGGCATCGCAGTCCGTTCGCACGAATGAACTCTGCAGCAATAGCACTGCCCATGCCCGAGCTTCAATTTTTCCCACTCGGCCACGGTACTCGGTGCTTGAATCCGGAGATTGAAGCTGGAGGCAAAGCTTTCCCCAGGCAACTGCAAAATGGACCCTGGCTGCTGAAAAAATATCAGCGCCTTTCCAGGTTTCCAGATTCATGGAGTTAATCAATCCCACCAGCACATGACCTCGCTGTGACTATGTGACTACAGTATTTTCCAAGAGCCAAAAGCCCTTGCGATCAACAAAACTCCATGCGTCACAGAAGCTGTGCCCCGCTGGCTGAATCGGCTTAGTGCTGAGAAGCACCATCGACTCTGTCACAATGCTGCGGCCGCTTCCCAGGACATGTGGTAGAATGCATGGCACAACCATGATTTACGAAGACTATTAAGTAACTGTCTCAAAACGGAGCTGCAATGAAGTCTGGGTGTAACAGTAACACCAACATGGAAACGACAGCAGCAAAGCCGTGACAACGACGCAGAATCTGAAAAACCCTAGGGCCTGGTTCTCCTGAAGCTGAATATAGTATACAAAATTGGATACGGCATCCAGCCGTGGAGACTGACGCAGAGACGGAGCAGTGATTGTCAGACACTTGCAGTTTTCCCGCGGCTGCTGCTTTCCAGGAAACAGAACAAACATAAACGCGTGCATGTTAACAACAGGGTCACTGAGTTAGTGAAAGCCTCCAAGTTGGCGCAAAATTATGGCATGGACTCAGCCATGTAGCAGCCTACTCCCAAGCTGCCTCCGGCGTGTGGCCTGGGTGGGGCCTCATGCCTGGGCCTAGGACTGCTGGCACATGTCCAAATCCCATCGGATTGGCCAAAGCAAAGCTCGGTCAGCTGAATATGTCAGGATGTCCCAAACTATGTTAAATCTGAACGAAGACTCCAGGTCTCCAGCTAGAAGGACTTGAATACTAATAGTAAAGTATTGCACCCCTCTACAAACACTGCATGCCACTCTACACGAACACCAAAACCCGAACAACCACAAGCCCTATAAGCATAAGCATCCGCTCAACACAAGAGCGCAGGCGTGCCGGCACCAAAAATATTTTTCTAGAACTTACACTGACACAAGGCTTAGAGTGTCATACAGGCTACAATCCGGCAAAGGTGAGAAGGCTGAGGGCAATACGAATCAAGCCAAGTCAGGTTTTCAGGCTGCCGGTGGGGGTGAAAAGGATTTTGACTTGGCTAGGACTCGGACTAGAGCGACCAGAGTGGCTAGAGTTGTAGGACGGTACCACTCAATAGCACCATCCATTTGCTGGAAGTGTAAATGTGAATCAGCAGCAGAAACAATATCACTCTCGTCATTTGGGCGGGTTCCTCCGTTTCGAGCGTCCATGAACATCGTGATCATCAAGATCGTCGTGGCCATGGAAATATAACAAGCATCATACTCTTCATTGTCGTCAGCCTCGTCAGCATTGTTCAGCAAACTTATGGAAATTTGCAAACAAAGCAACATGACCATCGTCACCATCATGCTACCCGCCTCAGTCAGAAATTATGTGAGCTTCATCTTCATCATGCTCATCACGGTCATCAACATGAACACCATTCATCATCATGTTCATCATCAGCAGCAGCAGCAGCTACAGCAGCAGCAGCTGCTGTAGCAGAGGGAGCAGCAGCATGTCGATCACCAGTGTACCCGTGTACCCTGACCATGACCATCACCATCGATCACTATCACCGTCATCAGGCCCATCACCACCACCACGATCAGCATCATCATAATCATAACCCACACGTGTTTTATTCGTAAACACCATCATCAACATCATCCTCATCAGTATCCGGATCCTCGTCATCATCCTCATTCTCATCCTCCTTGTCATCATCATCATCATCATCATCACCCTTGTCATCAAAATCATGGCATGGTGGGTCCCCACCATTGCCTCAGCCTGGCATTGCCACTGCAACTTAGCTCAGACAGCTTGTATACTGTACACATTGTAGTTCCTCAAGACTCCTGCCCTCATTACTTCACCTGATGTCGCCACTACCGCATCACATCACCACCGGCTAGCTCCTAAGCCTCTAAGCACTTTCCGGCAATACCCCACACTGCAAATTTGCTCCAAAGACAAGCAAGAAGTACCCAATCATCATCCCCCTAAACTGCAGTCCCCAACACAGCCAACACCAAGGGTGCTTCTTTTTCAGCTAGGTTTCATCTTCCAAAGACCGTATGATCCACAGCACGCCCAAGAGCAGAAGCAGAAACAACGTCAATGGGAACAGCACGAACAACAACAGCAACAACAACGACAATACACGAGAAAGACTGGCAAGCTACAACGGGTAACCCGGTAGAATCTTGGCTTATCGCCGCAATGGACACCACAACTCCAGGCCAGGCAAAGGCCCTCCCCTTTGGCACTATTTGGATGAAAGTCATGAGCTGCACCATCGACAGCAGGCTGTCCGAGCTCCGAAGGCCAAATTAACAGAATGTCAACAGGTTGCGCATGATCGTCCGCACACAATCTCAAGCAGATCAGAATGGACAGTATAGAGTTCAACAAATCTTACTCACAGACTGCGTGGCAAGAATGCACACAGCTTTGTCGAAACAACTGCATATGAGGTTAGACTGCTAACCTGCCCGTGTTACGAGGATGTTGGAACGACACCACAGAAGAGTGTGCGGATCAGCTTCAAGCCGTGGCATGCTCCTTGACCCACTGCTGCACGCTTTGCCACAGCAACGGATACAAGTCTGCTGAGGTCAGGCCGAGATCATTGCCTGACATGAAAATTGAATGTGCGCCAATCAAAGCCTTCAGCTCTGCCACGTGCTCAGAGGTCTTCTTCTCATTGAACTTCTTCATGGACGCAGCTAACAACAGCTCCATCAACAAGAGCTTTGCTTTGGAAACCTGCCGGGTGCTGCTCTCGATGATGGTCTTCAAGGCTGTAGTGGATTCAGGGATGTTCGCATCGTCGAAACGGTCAAGGAGATCTTTGACTGTTTTGAGTGCCTGCACGGCAGAGTGCTGATGGCTAGGTCTAGGTCTAGGTCCACGTGAAGGTGCACTAGCTCCTATATCCCACCACCATCCCCGGAACTCCACCAGGACGATAGTAGTGCGAAAGTAGATAGCTAGCGAGCTAGCCGAGCGACGACCAGACGACAAGCAACAGCAGCTAGCACGGACGTTCTTTTGTCTGGAGTGGCAACTATCCCAGGTTGCCTGGAGATAACTGATAGCCTTCGGCTATCTATCCCCAGGGTGGGCAGGGTGGGTACTTCAAAATTACCCCCCCTGATGGGGGACTTTATCCAGAATGGCCACGGTCACACACCGTCGTAGCCATTCCAAGTCACTGCTATCCTGTCTTCGCATGTCAGAGGCAACTCTCCTGCGAGCGACGATAGCGAACGAAACTTCGTTTCTAGCGAAGCTACCTTCGATAGCTTCGAGTAGTGATAGGTAAGCTAGCACACATAGTCGTAACTCGTTCCTCGTCACGAGGTACGTGCACTAGCTCCTATATCCCACCACCATCCCCGGAACTCCACCAGGACGATAGTAGTGCGAAAGTAGATAGCTAGCGAGCTAGCCGAGCGACGACCAGACTGACAAGCAACAGCAGCTAGCACGGACGTTCTTTTGTCTGGAGTGGCAACTATCCCAGGTTGCCTGGAGATAACTGATAGCCTTCGGCTATCTATCCCCACGCATCGCCACTCAGGCTACCAGGGATCTAGCTTTCTGGCCTTGCGGCTAAACTTGGACACCCTATCCGGGGTCCCTCGCTTTCGCGTGCCTAGCTCCTGGTAGAAGCTATCTGCATGCGCGAGTAGCCGGCCAAGAACACGCCACTGGAATTCCTCTCCTTTCAGATCTATCCTCTGAGAGGGATCGAATTCCTTGAACTCCTCGTTTGTAAGGTCATCCGCTAGCTGGTTGATGTCTCTCCGTATCCACTGGAGCTGTAGCTCACAGTTTTTCTGGGATAGCTCTTCTGCTATCTCCATTAAAACTAACATGGAGGGATACTTGGTCGTCATAGCCTTCTTCACAAGTGCCTCTTTTTTTTGCTTGTTGAGTTCTCGCGCCGCTCACGCAAGCGTGAACGACGTGTCAAGCTTCAGCCTTCTTGGATACAAGTATCGCAAAGCACTGTACTGCAAAGGGTACGAGTATCTAAATAAACCTGTACAGGATGCCGGCTCGCACGGTTGCCAGAGGTCCGACGTGAGAGTCTTCGGCACTCGAGTGAAAAGAAAGACTCGTTTTGCTACATTTGCAAGCAGCATCGAGAGCCTACAACTTTCAAGCATGTGGCCTAGGAGTTCGGGGTGTACAGGGGGGAACTCGGCACACATGAAAGTGAGCGGTTTGCTCAACTGTTCTTCTACGACTAGTCCGGCAAGCAGTACTTGAGGACCCTACAAAAACTGTACACCAGCAGTTCAGTCGAGACGGCGTTGTTTGAGTTCAGTTCACCTTGCCAGCAGCCCACAGCAGCTCCAGCAGCGCCGCAGCCGCACAGCAGCAGCAGCCCAGCCAGAGCCAAGGAGTCGTAGTGCCGGCGGCGACCGACAAGGTTGAACTGGTCAGCGGCAGCGGCTCTCCGTTGAGCGAGAGACGGGTAGTGACAGGCAGTGGTACCACCCTCAAAGGCGGTTCGTAGTCACGAGACCAGGGAAGCCCTGGGCTCGCAGTTGGCAGTCAGCAGCGAAGACCACCCCAGCGTCCAGGCAGCACAGCAGCCCAGGAAGGTTTGAGGCTCACCGTCGAACGAGAGCCAAGTAGTGCCTCGTAGCCAGCAGTCAGCAGCAGAAACAGCACCCCAGCGCCCCGGCGGCTCAGCGGCAGCAGCCCACAGCAGCCCAGGGCACGGAAGTGCCAGCACACAAGAGGGCTGGGAAACCGGGCCTAAACCCTAGTACTAAACCCCAGCTCCCGGGGGAGAACTGGGGTCGCAGGCACTTGCGGTTCCTGCACGAGGAAGGCTTTCAAGAAAACAGTGGAGTCGCTCAGCTGCTCTAGCCGAAGCTTTGACGGCAGCTTCCTCCCAAGCTTTAACACGAGCGGCCTCGGCTACCCATTTTTCTCTAAGGGACCCTCTAAGCCTCCTAGCAACACAGTCTTTGGCAGCACGGTCGGCGGCCTCATTTAAGGATCTCAAGAAAGCAGCGCTGAAAGGAGATCGTGTTGGGGTCCATGATGCCTTACGATTGTGTGCCGGAACCCACATGAAATGAAGATCAATTCCGAAACAGCGAATCTCTGCAGAAAGCTGCTGGAAAAGAGCAGAAAACATTGGGAGAGAAGGACATGAAAAGCGAGCCTGAAGGGCCGCTGAACAGTCAACAGCAATCGTGATGCTTCCCCTGGCTCCTCTCGAAGCGGCCGCGGCCACTGCTTTAAGGGCCAGGAGCAGAGCGCAAAGCTCGGCGCGAAACGAAGACTGGTCTTCACAACTGTTGCCGCCTGCAAAAGCTTTTGCACATGCATTCACTACGACCGCATGGGCCGCCACACCGTCCTTTGCAGAACCATCGGTCGCTATCGCAATGGATGTGGACTCCTGCAGCTCGGTCTGAATGGCTTCAGCCGCTTCGTCAATCAGCCCCTCAGCATCCACAGCGGGCGGTGGAAGCGGAGGCTCGTCGAGGTGTTTGGCCAATAACCGCTCCTCGCCCCGGTGCTTGGGGCCATCGAGGCCACTCCTGAGGTCGGCAGTGGAGGGGCACACCCAAAGCAAGTGAGCACGGCTCGGTCGCAGTGCCCCGCACAGGCACCGGAGGTGCAGCTGGTCACGGCGAGGCCCCACACTTTTCTCGAAGTGCCACGTAGTGCCACCTGAAAGAAAGGCCGCTCTACGATGGAAAAGCGACGATCTGTCAGCGAGAACTCGTTTGTGGCCTTGCAGTCGGATTCGAAATCCCCGCGGAGGTGCCGGCAGCTCGAGACCACGAGCGACACCATCCTCAAGTACCCTGTGCATGCTCTGGGACACTCTTCGGCAACGGCTGAGGTATTGCTGACGGTAGAACCCTTCAAGCCAATCCTGAACGACGCGAAAACTTTCAAAGCCGATGTGAACAGTTCTGAGGGCTCCAGCAGCATCCCTTCTGCACAAAGCAGTGGCGTCGCGAGAGAACCACCAGCCCGTGCGAGCCAGCAGGCTTTCAGTCTCAGGAAGTTGCGCATGCCAACGCCCTGGGCAATGTCCAATCGGGACTTCTTCCAGCCATACCGGCGGCTTAGAGACCCATCGCCAAAACAGTCGGCACAGGCCCAGGTCGAGGGCGAAAGAAGGTTCTAACCCCCATCCTAGCAACTCGTAAAAGGCAACCGTGGCCACATCCCCACCGTACCCCGAGCTAAACAAGAAGCGAACCTCGTGCTGCACGGCTTGGACATCCTTGGCACTCGGTCTGGCAAACCCTGCCGCCCATGCCAAACAAGGCATGACAAGCGACCGCACAAGCATGATTCGGGAAGTGGTTGCAGCCTGCGTCCACCGAAGCAAGCGCAATCTGAGAACCGCTTTTCGAAGCGAAAATTTCGGGATAGCCCCAGTTCCCCCAAAGTCAAAGGACACTCCCAAAAGTTCAAGGGATCCACAAGTCAGAAAGTGCCACTTGTCAGCGAGAAGGCGAGTGGCCTCCGTGTGATGCTTGGCTGCAACAAAACATTTGTCCTCCGCAAGCTGTAACGAGAAAGCCTGGTCGAAGTCTGCACTTGCGAGCAGAGCGGCATCAAGGTCCTGAAGGGAGCCCCGGGGCTCAATCCACAGGGTGCGGTCGTCCATGAAAATTTGTGCACCGATATTGGTGGAAGAAGCTTTGACATACTCACTCCAGCAGTGAGATAAGGCTGCCGCCGCTAATGGCGATAGCGGGCAGCCTTGCCCAAAGCCCGAACGAACCTGATGAACACCCGGGGCATACGAACCCTCGAAGTTAAAATACCGCTTGGCATCAGAATAAAACGACTCAAGGAGTGGTAACAACTGGGGCGGTGCACCTAATCGATTGAATACTCTGCCCATGGCCGGCACATTCAGGGAATCAAAGTACCCAGCAACGTCCATCAATGCTGCAGTGTTGACACCCCGCTTGATTGCAGCCTGGAGCTGAAACAAGACGTCCGAAGTGGAGCGGCCCGGAAGGCCACCGTGGTCGCTGGAAGAAGCCCATTTGAGGGTCCAGGGACGAAGTGCACGTGCAATGTGCTTGGTCCCAACTCGCCAAATTACCTGAGTGAGAGTAATGGGACGGGTTTTGGGCCCGCCTCGCTTGCGGATCAAGGTGACCTTGGCGAACCTCCAAAGCTTTGGCACTTGGCCTCGATCCCACACCTGCTGCCACAGTTGAGCGGCCGCGTGCCACCACCGGTTGGGCAGTCGTGCTAAGTCCTTTGCACGCCAGCAGTCAGGCCCTGCAGCCTTATTCGAAAAAGAAGCAGCAATGGCCCTGAGCGCGCCAGGGTCAAACTGAACTTCAACGTGTGTGGGCTCAACAGCAGGAACCTTCTGAAGGACCCTCGCAATGGCATCAAGTTGAGGTTCAGGTTCGGACTCCCACTTGCAAAGCCAAGCTTGGGCCTGAGCTCGTACAACCTTGGATGGATGCACAGGGCCAGCGGCTTGTGCCTCCGCCTGGCTTGGGCAGCGTTTTTCAAACTCAAGCTGGGCATCGGCCCTGGATTTAACAAACGCACGCTGGCGGGCAGTGTCTTCCCTCAGCATTGCCTTCCATCTAGTCCGAATTGCAGAAGTTTCTTGCTCTTGAAAGGTCCCAAGCAACTCCCCGACAGGCCCGAGGAGTTTTTCAAGATCCCACTCATGGGTCCACGGAAGGTCAGGCACGATGGCTCGGGCACGGGGTAGGGACTTAAGGATTTTTTGCCTCAAGGCCTGGTCCGGCTTACTAGTCAACATCGAGAGCTGCCGCTGCAATTTCAATAGTACACGCACCGAAGCAGACCCCTCGAACCTTTTACAAGAGTGCACTTCCGCAGCAGTAGGCGACCAGGGCAGACTCCGGGGATGATCGCCCGATCGCGTGTGACACAGGCAGTTCTCGGCCACATTGGAAAGCTCTTGCCAACCCTTATCAACATCCCCCGTGGCTAAGGCTAACCAGAACGGGTCAAAATCAGCCTCACCGAGCCACTGCTCAAGGTCGTCAGAAGATGCATCGCAAACCTTGCTCCTGGGTGGCATAGTCATAAACTGGGGAGTGTCAAGAGGTAGCTCATAGACCACCGACAGGTGATCTGAGAACGACGGCTCCAAGTGCCAGACGGCACTGGCCGCCAGTGACCAGTGGCAAACTCCGTGATCTATGCGGCGCTTGCGTCCTGGGCCCGTGGGCGGTAGGGCAGCGCCCTGCGCGGCGTCGTCTAAAGACCGGATGGCCCCTGCTGCAAGGGCTTCGCCCAGGACGGCCTCTGCCGGTTCAAGGTTCATGTCGCCCGCGACCACGAAGGGTCCTTGGCCCGCAGTGCAAGCCGCCAGGATGTCCGAAATTTGGGCAGACGCGGCTGCCTGGTGTCCTGATTGTCCGTAAGCGGACACAAAAGCGATCTGTGCATGCTGTGGTGTTCCCTGAAATTCAAAAATGCCTGCCGCACACCTGGTGTTTCCCAAACCCTCTGCAAGTCGGAACGGTCGAAAAGGCAGGGAGCTGACCAGGGCAACTCGACTCAGGCCGGAGTCCTCAGGAACAGACAAAGCGGCATAAAAGCCACGGGCCTTCCAGGCATGAAGGAAACCCGGGGCTGATGCAACATTGATGTCAGCCTCAGCAATGGTGCAGATGTGCACGTCGTTTGCCGCAAGGAAATTGCAAATGGCATCAACAGACGACACACCTTTGCCAGTAATGTTGACAGTGGCTAGTCGGACGAAAACGGCAAATTAAAAATGATCTCGGCCTGTTCAAGCAAATGGCTTTCCCGCTTCTTGACCGGGCCCTCTGGAGTTTGCTTGGCATGGGCCTTGGTGAGGGTCTTAACAGCCTCAACTCGGCGCTTAGCTTTGCGCTTTGCCGTGGCACGATCACAGAGGCCACGCTTTACATGGGACAGCGCATCACTTTGCTGTCGAAATGGTGTTTTGCACTCAAGACACAGCCACCCAAACGATGATCTGAGACCACCTCTGGCTGCAAAGACCTTGGAAGGAGTGGCCCTTGGCCAACAAAAGAGCCGAAAGTGTTCCAATGGCGTTCCCCTGGCAGCACCGATGCGTTTGATACTCTCACGGCCGCGGCGTGTGACAGCAGCTTTGTCGATGGTGCTCTTGCGGTCGAGTGCCTTGAATCTGGCCCACGGTACCCTCGGATGGGCGGTGCATCTGTGGGCAAGCTTATCAGCAGTCACAGCATCGGCACTCTTAGAGAAGGCATCCCTAGCAGCAATGCCGAAATCACAAAGCGGGCACCTCCAATGGCAGTTGTCGCCGGCCTTTGCCTGAATGATGGATGGCTGACGCTTCCCGTGCGGGACCCCTGACGGGATCTGCCCTGGATGGTGGGTCTTGTAGTGAGCATACAGCTTGGCCTGACGGGTAGCCACACACTTGGCAACGGCCCGGAAAGGACACAAGGAGCAAATGGCAACGGGACTGCGATCAATCTGGAGCCCTGCTCTCCCCCAGTAATGCACTTGGCGCTCTGTGGGAGGCTTGCTCGCAACGCTGGCAGACACTGCATCTAGGTCGTCAATGCTCTGCGGCTCGGGAGGCCCAGCAACAACACTGCCATGAACACTTGAGCTGGCGGACCACACGGTGGGAGGCTTCGACAAAGCCTGGGCGGGAGCCCGGGAGGACTGCGAACTCCACTCGGTCCTGGCCTTTGTGCACTTGCGAGCTTTACTTGAAGAGGCTGGCACCAGAGACCAAACCGTGGCCGGCTTGGAGCAGACAGAGGCAACAGATTTGCCCCCGGCTCGGAAGCCGAGTGATGCTGCCGAGCGTACAGCAAGCAATTCAGCAGGGTAAGCAGTACCCGTCTCGGGCAACAGCAGATCAACATGTTTGTCCTCCAGCCACAAGGCGGCGGTGTGCTTGGCTTGCGAGGTAGTGAAGGCTTCGGGCTCCAGGGATGAGTCAGCTGGTATCACGACAATGTTGATCCCCCAGCTCCTCGACAATGCCCGCATTTCTAAGTCCGACGCATAGGCCGATTCTCCCCCAAGGAGCTCGCAATATGAATCGTAAGTCAAGTCAGGGACGGCCTTACCCGAGGGGTCACACTTATCCCAAAGTCCACTATACTTATCCTTATGTTGTTTAAGGTGCGTCACAGTGCCTGCCCTCAGCTCCCGATGGTGCGGAGGGGTCTGGTCGGGGTGTATATGCTTAAGCGCAGCGGCAAATGCGTGGAACACACACGAGCCATCCTTGGGTACTTGCACCTTTTTGCAGCCTTTGGGTATGTCCCGAATCAAGGTTTTGGCCTTCTTGCCCGGACCGAGCTGCTTCTCATCCTGGTCCTTGTCGGTGTCTCCAGTGGTGACAGAAACCGCCTGTCGAGGCTCAAAAATGGAGGGTTTGGGTGCCAATGGTAGCACAGAAGAGGCTTTCAGGGGCCGCTGTTGTCGCACTTGATTACGGGGCGGCGCAATGGCAGCCCAAAGCGTCAAAGTGGTCTCACCCTCCGTGGCAGCTAAGGGAACAAGGTCACGGTCCGGCTCCTTGGCGGCTGCCCGAAAGTAGAAAACCTTGAAGTTTTTCTTACGCAGCTGGCGGAGCATGGTGATATCATCGAAGGCGGTCTTCAATACGGTGGCAACCTGGTCAGCATGCCAGTCCGAGGGGACCCACGGTACCGACCACACCTTCTCCACAGCCTCAGTGCTGAGCCGCGGGGCCACGTGTCCAAGCCGCCCGGCCCTGTGCGCCAATCCGAGATCTCCCGCTGTGCGGCGGAGACGTGTCAAGTAGTCGCCGGCACTCTCGCCTTTGTTTTGCTCAACCCAGGTGATTTTGGTCAAAATCTTGGGTTCTGCCCCTGCCGACCTGGCCTGCTCAAAGAAAAAGCCGTCACGCCCCGAAATGGCAAGGACGGAGGACACATCTGGTTCGTTGACTCTCAACAGCCCATACAACTGGCTGCTTTTGCCAACTTTTTCTTCCTTCCATGCCCACGTGTCCAGGGCGTTAAGATGATTGCCACTCAGCCACTTCATCATGTGTTGCGCCGGCTGTTTGAGCATCATAGCCCACGTGTCCTCAACCGTAAAAGGTCGGGGGAGGCGAACATGCAGAACTGCGGAAGGTCGCTTGGTCACCTTCTGTGTGGCCCCCGAGCCCTTGAGGCCTGGGATGGGGTGGGCCGTGTCGGAGCGAATGAACCATGAACTGGCCTTGCGAAATTGAAGCTGATCCTCGACAAGTCCTGGCACTCGGTCAGGGCCTTCCGGGTTCAAGACAACAAACTTCAAAGAATACTGCTTGGAGCAGCCTTTTGCCATAGCCTCAAAAAGTGCTGAGCGCTCCTTGGTACAGAGCACAATGCCTTTAAGAACCTCGTTGGCAGGGAGTTTTTCAAGCTTATCGGCAAGGTGAGCTGGGTCAAGCAAGGGATGATCCCAATCCTGCGCCCTCAAGCGAAACTCCTTAGCAGGGTCGGGTCTGGGCTTTCGCGTGACCGTAGTCCAGCCTACATCGGGCTGTGTTCCTCCCACGCCTTTGCCTGCACTTTTGCCTTTGCCCTCGTGCGGGGCCGAGGCGGCGACCTCACCTTTACCTTTGCCGGCACTCGGGGCCGAGGCAGGCACACCTTTACCGGTGTCCTTTGCATTGTGACCAGTGGCACCTTTGTGTTTACCTTTGCCTTTTGCGTCAGGCTGGCTGGGCAACTTAGGGGCCTCTGGGTTAGGGATGGTGGGTCGCTCGCCGTGGCCCTGTGACCCGGCTGCCCTTGCTAGCTTAGCCGCAGCTTTTTTGAGCCGGGCCTTCCTGCGTTTGAGGGCCTTAGCGTGAGTCGGAGCTTGGGCCGGCCCGTTGGGAGCTGCCGGCAGGTTTCCTAATAGAGCGCTGAGGTCGAAACTCGCAATAGCTTCTTGGATGGCTTTTTGCACCGCTTGCTGGATAAAAGCATGGAGTCCTGACGGAACTTTGGGGCCAGGGCCGGGATTGGACGCTTCCCCAACTCTTGCTGCATTCAAGTAATTGAAATTGCGGCTGAGGGCACTGAGGCATGCAAAGCAATCAAAGAGGCCCACACAACCCAGCCCCCAAGAACCCCAGACCTCACTTGTGGAAGACGTGCCCTGCGAAGAAAAGCTCACGGGCTGGGCACCTCTTGCCTGGCTCGAAAGGTCGCCGGCAGTCGCGATGCACGATGTGTCCGCATAGAGATGTTCACCTAGCAGACCAGGGCAGGTTGTGAAGCACGCAGCTGCCCCACTTACAACATGAAAGGCGCTCCTGCAATTTTCAGCCCCGACCGGGGATGTTCTCTGGCCTTTCGGCCAACCTTGACCACCGGTGGGGTAAGAAGCATGGGTGTGCAGCCTAAGTCCTGGGTCGTCAAGAAATTTCGGGCACTGCACCAAACCTCTGGCAGCCTCAGGGGATTTACTCGGGCCTTTCGGCCAGCCTGCACCACCATCGCTGCGAAGGATCGGTCCTTCACCAAAGGCGGCACATTGCCAAGGGTTTTTGCAAGCTTTGTCGGCGCTCCTACCGGCACCTGCAGCATCTGAGGATATGCTAGCACCTTTCGGCACGTATGACCTCTGAGCATAACAGGCAGCGAGAGTGTGCAGCCCGTTTTCGAGAGTCTCACAAATGGAGTGCCCCTTAACCGGGGCACCAGTAACACACTGTGCAGATTTGGCGCTCCTGCTGGCACTTGCATTGGCTGGGGATATCCCCGCACCTTTCGGTACACTCGACCCACCATTGCAACAAGCAGCCAGAGTGTGCTGCCCTTTTGGAAGGTCGTTCGTGACGGTTGCTGCTGATCCTTGACAAGCTAAAAGGGCCTGACACTCAAGAGCATGCACGGTCTCAAATGTACAACTTGGCACTTCTTGCAGCTGCTCGGCCCCAGCACGGTCGGAGCACAGAGCAGACAGGCACACGGGTAACCCCAAAGGGAGAGAGGGACTAAACCCTATCCTAGGGGGAGAGGGAAAGGCAGGCATTTGGCAGTCGTCGCCGCAGTCGCAGTCGTCCAGCAAGGTGCTGCCACCACGTCGTCCGGGCAGCTCGCCCGTCAGGTTCACCTCGCCCTTCAAGCTCATCGAAAGCCCATCCTCAGCAATTCCATGGCGAAGGCACTGCGAGGCAGGGAGGGCCTGGGGAGCCCAAGTAGGGCTACATAGAGGGACTCGGGAGCTCATCAAGTGAGATCTTTGCCCTTCAGCGGGTCTTCTTTCGAGCTCTGGGACGGGCCCGTCACAACTGCATCTTGGTCCTTGAAAGGATCTTGTTTCGAGTCTGTTTCGAGCCCT